TGGCAGAAGCAAGAGTCTTCCATAGACTGACACTTCACATGCTAAGGCAAGTAGCAAAGTACAGAATTGAAATATCCAAGCAGGAATCTGCCTCGGAAGACACAGGGGTTAAAACACTTAGATCCATCCTGAGTTCTGAGGGGAAAGGTTATACAGACCATGGTTAGTCATCAATCCCTGACATTCAGGCTGAGGCTTTCTTTGTTGTTCCCCAGGATATCAAACTCACTAACAGACCAGGAACTGCAGTCAATTAGCTTGCGTTCAAATTACTATTCTGCCATCTCAAACCAAGTTATTGCATCTCTCCTTTTAAAGTCTGTGATAGTCTGTGCTTTGGTTTGCTCTCTATTGCCTTGATTAATACCATATCAAAAGCAACTGGGAAAATAAGGTGTTTTATGTATGTATGGATGGATGTATTTTTTTAGCTTATATTTCCACCTTATAGTCCATCATTGGGAGAAATCAGGGAAGGACCTAAAGCAGGAACTCAAGAAAGAGCCACAGAAAAACACTGCTTATGATTTTCTCTCTTGGGCTATTTCAGTCTGCTTTTTCATATAAGGCAGGACCACCTGCTCAGGGGTGGCACTATCCACAGTGGACTGGACCTCTCACATCAGTCATCAATCAAGAGAATAAACACAAGCTTGTCTATGAGCCAGTTCAATAGAGGCATTTTCTCAACTGAAGTTCCTTCTTCCCAGATGGCCCTGACTTACGCCAAGTTAACAAAAAAAATCTAAGATAGTCTAACTTGGGTAGGTTATAGCTTATAAGTTAGGTTCTATTTTTGAATGGCAGGAGAACCATGGAATAGATGGAGCCTGAAAAAAAAAAACTATGATGATGGCATCAAACACATATATAAAGTACCTCTCCATCAGGCTGTACTCTAAACACTACCTCCACTACCTCTTATAACAGTCACAACAATTCTGTGAGGTATGTCCTGGTGTGACCTCTGACAAATGGCAGCAGAGAGGAGTTTTGGAATGCATGAAAGGCCACATGGTAAATGGTAGAAGCACGAACTATAATTAGAATGTTGCTTTGAGAGCCCAAAACCTCAACAACTACACTATTGTGTGGAGCCTCTTGTGACATTCCGTTGTCAGCACTGAGCCTTCCTTTGTGACAGATGCTGCTGCTCATGCTTAGCTCACTACTGCATGAGGACAGGACCCTCATGTTAACATATGGCACACTAGCTGGTCACTTTAGCACAAGGTGAGTAAAAAGTGCGGGCAGTACTCAGAGAAGGTCATCCACTGCCTGTGCCAATCACGTGAAGTAAGGAGCGAAATTTGCCCACTGCCAAATCTAAGCAGAAAATGCCACAGGATACCTCAGATGGCAAAGGAAACTGTGACACCAGAGAGCAAAGACAGATGAAGGAGCCAGTTCAGAAGATTCAGAATCTGACTGAAGAGCCATATCACAAAACAAGTGGGGAGAGAGGGTCCTATACAGTGGATTTTGAGGTCAAACATCCCTTTGGACTCACTAGCCATACATCTTTCACTGAGTCTCTTAACTTCTCTGAAGCATCGCTTCTTTTTTATTACAAAGGATTGTGGGTTCCTTTTTATTACAGAGGATTAAAACTATTTCATTTATATAATTGTTTTGGAAATTTGATGAAAACGTTTAAATGTTATGAACAGTGCCTAGGAAAGAGTAGACACTAGAAATATTTTCTTTTACAGCACAGCATGCTTAATGAAGAGTGTCTGATTTCTGAGTGCATTAATATTGGAAAAGCATGTACTTTCCAAAGTAGAGGAGATTGAGAATAGTAGTCAAATTCTCTTGACCAGTCACAGGCACTAGGGTATTCTGCCACAATCATAGGAAGAAAAATTAGTTATCTTTGGATTTATTTCTAAACAAGGAAAACTCATTTGTCAGTTCAGGTTGTTATAGCAACAGCTCTTGCACAGACTTTGCAACCTTAGGTTGGTTGGGCAGAACACAACTCTGACATCAAATCAAACATCGGCAGTGTTCAGTGTTGGATAAATTGCCAAGTCCTTAAAAATGTCACCAACCTCTTGGTTTGTTGTATTCTGGGTGTTTGATTATAATGTAAAATTTTCCAAACCCCTAATTTTTGAACAAGCATATTCAAGCATATAAAATAACCACTCTTTTCGATTGATAATGTTTAAAAGCTCTTCATAAAATGGCACACTGACACCTTGTTGATTCCTGCTGCTCACTCATCTCCTATCCTCCAGTAAAACATTGATTAATACCTTGCTCTATTTTTACAAGATCTTCATTGTCAGTAAATTACTATTTGTGACATAGAATTATAATTCTAAGAGAATATATTTTATGCTGTGACTGGTAGATAAAATATACTTTTAACTTGCAGGGCAAGACCAATTTTCTAATACTTGAGTTCTATTTGCTCAAATGCATTACTGTTATAAAGCACCAATTATGACTAATAGTGGAATTATTCTCGCTGCAGTAAGTACTTGGTGTGGTAAAGCTTTAAGTACTCTGAAATGTGGCACTCAATTTAGTTAACTACAGGAAATAGTTGATTTCATATAGATTATTACCTTAATGTCACACTGCTCTCCAAACTCACATGTGCCCAGGGTATGTGGTGTTCTCTATTTATTTGTATTCACTTCTATGAATCTTGTCACATGAAGCATTTTCTACAAGTCATATTTGCTCAATATTGATGTTATCAAATCTTGAGCTCTTTCTTTCCACCACAATCCCTAAATCTCTCCCATTTTAGAGCTGGGTGTCAGACCAGATGAAAATGACAAAAATGGGGGGATAGATAGGTTAACCTCCAGCAGCACAGGAGGACTTGGGTCCTCAGCTAAGTTCCATTGTAGAAGTCACAAACTATCATGCTTTCAGAGCCCAACCATCCAACTCTCTCATTAGCCACAAACAGAAATTCTTCCAAATTATCTTTTTACCCCTCAACCCTGACATATCAACGAATAGGCAAGGTTTATAAGTTCTACCCTTTAAATGTCTTTGAGTTATTGTTCTTTGCTATGCCTATGTGCTTGTCTTTTTCATCTTTAATGCTGTAGTGTAAAAGCTGTTTCAGTTTATACATTTTTACAAGTTAAATTTAAGAACACTATGGCAAATGCAGGTCAATAAGGGTCAATTGTAATCACCTGGTCTTCAAACCAAACCAAACAGGGTAAAAAGCCACCTCTCACACATAAATTGCTAGAAACTTTCTCTATCCCATCGCATCCTCACTTGCAAGCTCTAAATAAAATCTGGTTGTGCCCTTCTCTTTACTTAGGCATTTCTCTAAATCTTGTTTGTCCATAAAGAACACCAAAGTCAGCCTGGAATTGGTGGCGCACACCTTTAACCCCAGCACTCTGGCAGAAGCAGGTGGATCTCTGTGAGTTCAAGGCCAGCTTGGTCTACAAAGTGAGTTCCATGACAGCTAGGAATGTAACACAGAGAAACCCTGTGTGTAGGGGGGTGGGAGGAAAAAAAAAGAACATCAAAGTCCAAATGTATGTATTGAGTACCAACTACAAACAGATCATAATGTGTTCCAACACATGACCTGGGACTCATAGCAGCCACATGGAAATTTACCAATGTTGCATTCCAAAGTTGATGTTGGAATGCAGGAGGCTATTCTGCATTCTATAAAAAAACTGAGACATTTTCCTTCAAGACGGAGCTATGGAACACTAGGGCAACTTTTGATTATATATTTCTGAAATTTAACTATGGGTATTGAAGAATGGTCCATTCTTAAGCCTGCAGCAGTATCTTTAGCCTTGGTTTTAGATACCACATTTAACACCAGTGCCAACGAACACCACTATGAGTGATTGACAAAGGCACACAGAGAAAGTATGCATAAAATTCTAACACATGCAAGCACTTGTCCTCTGGAGAGGTAAATACAACATGATATGCATAAAAGCAGCCACAAAGCATCAAGGTGTGTCATTTCCAGATAGGAAAGATGGAGGAAAAAAAAAAAAACAGACCAACTAGCAGATGCAGCCTGAGCAAGCCAAGCACAAAAATGAATTTTGTGATTCAAAAACAACATAAATATCAATGTTCACACTTGGGATTCTCCCAGGGAAACCTCACCATTTCACTTTGTTTGTATGACTCCATTTCTTTATCAATAAGGAGTTGTTTAATTGTCTGTCCATTAACTTTTGACATCAGAAGAAGAAAATGTATTCCCAGGGCAGCAGATTAGCATCTGTGACCTTCTCATTAGTAAGTTAATTATATTGATTCTACAGACTCAAATCACTAAATTAAGGAGACTTCAGAATACACACATGTTATTTTGCAACAGTCTTCTTTTCATTTGAATTTCAACAAGTCAATTCCTGATCTATATAATGCCCTGAGCACCAGAAATAAGACTGTTATCAAAACATACATATTTCTTTAAAGGAATAACAAAACAAAACAAGGAAATACAGCTTGTCGCCTCTCATTTCCATCTAACCCCATGCAATAGCAGAAAAGATTTCCCTCCCCCAACTAGAGACTTCCAGTGAACCACAGTGATGGACAAACAGGTGTAATTTGCCTGCTATCACTCTGAGATGATTCTTGAAGCACAACTGTACTTATACATTTCAACTCTTGCCTGATGAAAGGATTCATTGTTGCTACTAAAATTGGTGAAAACAAGTACTTTCATTTTATCCTCCACTTCTTTCTGAATTATTTCCTTAAGTGGTCAAAGACTATAGGATGCGGAAGCATTATCATGGTGGAGGGAAGGCATACAAGATATCTTAATTGACAGAAATGAGTCTAAGTTTGGATTCTCAGCTGGAGAAGGACTGAAATTAAACAGAAGTTGGTATTCATACTCAAGCTGAACAGAAATTCACTTGAACTTAAATGCCAGGTTATAGGATACCACTTTCCCACATTCTTTTGCTGTCTTGCTTCATGCTTCCCTTTCCCTTAGTGAGAGCTAATATATTTTATACAGTTTTACTTACAATTGTGAAGTTCATGACTTTGAGAATCCAGATGGTCATGGCCAAGTTCACCAGTATTAAAATCATGAGGAGTAGGACAAAGAAATACAGGCATCTTTTCCTCCAGCCGTAAATCCCCACTTTGTATATGTGTGGCCCCTCTGAGCTGGGCATGGTGCTCCTGTGGTGTGAGTACTGTTCCTGAGGCATCTGAAATGAACCAGGCACAGAGAAGCACTCACATTAAAACACTGAGAGGTGGAAGAAAAAAAGCAGAGGCATCAACTGATGAAGAGATACGGCTGGCAACTGGCTGTACATTCCCACCTTCCTGACAACTCTAAAAGTCTGTTTCCTCTGGACCAAATTGGCTCTTTCGGGTACTCAATTCAGTGCCCTTATTTGATGCAACCTTCTTTTCTGGTGTGTGTATAAGACACCCACACATCTCTGAAGGAAAGATGCCCTGGAAACCATTTTCCAAAGAACTATTAGAATTCCAACTGTGTTTGGAAAGAGATATTCAGAGGGCCACCAAAGTCCTGGGGTACAATGTTGAATGAGTCTGAGCAAATAAATTAACCCCAACACTGCATATGTGTACCGCAGAAATGACTACTCAAACAATTTACTTTGAGAGTTAAAAACAAAAGTCTCAAAAGCAACAATTTTGCCTGCAATAGCTGATACTGAGACCTTTTCTCTATTTGGAGTTAAAAAGAGTCTTGTGGACACTTCAGATGATTGCTAAACCTTCACCCAAAATAGTGACAATGTCCTCATCTACTGTGTGCTAATTTCCACTGTACCTGAATTGCCAGCCAAGACTAATTCTGTGCTATAAGATGATCTCCCCATAACTCTCTTATAGATCACAGAGTATCGTAGGGGATAGGGCCACAGCTTAGTCATCACTCACTGGTATTTTTACACATGAAGATCAATGAGAATTAGAAAGAATTCCCTGGAAACCTGGAGGATATGAGACTATTTTCTATTTAATCATTCTGTGAAGTAAGGAAACATTCACAGAGTTTTAGAGTCATATCTGTAAGGTCCCTTGATTTCAATCTGCTAATTTTCAAAAATATCTTAGTGGGGATTAGAGAAATTAACCCTCTGCAGTTGACTATAAGACTTCTGTTACAGCAAGGAGATAAATGACATAGGAATCTTAGCATATGAATCTTGCAGTTCTGACCAGTGAGACACTCTGGAGGTAAGTGCAGGGAAACTAATGATGCTGCATCTCACTTGGGCTGTTTCTCTGTGAGTCACCGCAACAAAGAGTATCACTATTTATTTAGGTATGAAATGATCACTTGTTGGAAAGATATGCTCAATAAACATAACAGGGTGATGATATAGATACCAAGAGTTTTAATACATAGTAATAAGTTGAAAGAATACAGTGATTACTTTGAAGAGGAACTCCCAGTCATAGACATACACATCAGAGTCAGTGGTGGTGCTATTCTAAAGGCATCTACAATCTTTTTAATTAAATAAAAATAACAGATTGTGTACCCAATAACCAGTAACACCATAGCCTACCCCATTGCCCTATAGGTAGACAAGTCTGGAATATCCTCACTCAACCTCAACTAAGCATCAAAATCCAAAAGAAACCTAATGATTACAATTACTGGTCTCCAGTGTTAGAATCTGGGGCTCAGGGAGACCATTGTAAAAATGCTGCCCAGGGGATTCTAAACATTTTAATGCATCTGAATACATAGCTTCCCCTTGAAAATCTCTTTTCATAGTATAACTATGTTCAGAAAAAAATCTTGTAACTATCATGTTAAATAACAAGAAAGCAGAGCCCCTTGGATCATCTTCAAAGAACACTTAGGGTCCCAGGAAGCAGTGAATTTTTGTCCAACACCATTATTGACTGGTCAGAGATTTCAAAGCCCTGTCAAATCATAAGGTTAGAATCCAGATCTTTTGCTGTATAGCTTAATGGCCTTTTCTGATTGGTGTTGAGGCCTTTTATTCCCACCACACTCCCAAATCTTCAGTTTCCAACTCTGTAAAATGAATCAAGAGTAGGAAAGGCAGGGGGGAACTTCCTTGGTGAGGTTATAGTGGAAGGCATTACAAAGCAAATTAAAGTTACCACTGTAAGTCATATGAATAACCCTTACCAAGTGGGGAACTCACATAGGCTGAGGGTACTATTTTTTTCAACAATCCAAATATATTGAATTGCTAAAAACAAATAGGCAAGACAATCTTGAATCCATCTTTCTTTTCATTCTTTCTTAGAAAAACAATTACAGTCAAATGAATGAAGTTGAAGATTTAAGTCCTCCCTGGGACAGTCTCCTTTGAACAATCTTGAAGAGGCCCCAATACTGTGAGAACACAGCCAAATACTCCTATGGAGCTGACCATAAAGGATACTGTCAATGGAATTCATTAGACACTGTCTTTCTCTACTCTGGTTTCCTTTCCCATTGGAGCTTTGGAGGACTTACAAGTATCTTGAAGATTCAATGAAGAGGAAACTGAACTAAGAGCTCATACACCTGGGAAGGTACAGAATATATTTACATGGCTTGTAGCATCCATACAGGTACATCATGGATGGCTCTCCTGCTCTTGGAGTGTGTTTTGGAGATGTTTGTTTCAACCCATGGCATCATCAACCCACTGGACATGGGAACATGACAGTATTGACCCAAAAGGACACGCTGTAGGTAAAGTGACCCATAGTGGGCAGCACGAATATGTGGAGAGTAAAGAAGAGGTATGCCAGCAGCAATGGGAAATTTTCACATGAGTAAAAGTTTAAATCTACAAGTCAATTTTCATGGACACCTAGTCAAAACAAAAATTCTCTACTCTCATGAAAAATACTGAATTCACTACATATAATTACACTCTACTTATTTTTCCTTTTGTACAGATATTACAGAAAATAAAATTAATTATAATACTTGTGTCTACAGGTTATATACAACAGATATTCTTACATAGAATTGTAAGCTTTACATATCACGACCATCAATAATTAAAATTTTCTGTCAGAACTATCATGGGAGACAATTACCTTCCTATCTATACACACTATCTTACCTGAACACAAAATTACAGTGGTAAACAGTTGTCAACTGAAAACTGTGACCACAAAGTATTGATGTGACACAGTTGATTATTAATAATTTTATCCTAGTTTTTACAATATTACCTTTTAAAAAACAATGATTTATTTTCTTTTCTCATTATAATTACATATTAATGTCTTTAACATAAGTTTGTTTTAAGTTTAAGACTTTATTTTTTCTAAAAAAAAGTCACTAAACTGTTCATTTAAAGCTTCTACACTCTGCCGGGCGGTGGTGGCGCACGCCTTTAATCCCAGCACTCGGGAGGCAGAGCCAGGTGGATCTCTGTGAGTTCAAGGCCAGCCTGGACTACCAAGTGAGTTCCAGGAAAGGCGCAAAGCTACACAGAGAAACCCTGTCTCGAAAAACCAAAAAAAAAAAAAAAAAAAAAAAAAAGCTTCTACACTCACACATCTAAGGTCTTCCCACAGTCTCACTCCTAAAGCACCCCACACATAGCTGAGGCCAAGGCAGCACCACAGATAAGGTTGTCCCATGGATCCAGGGGAGAGACAGTATAAATATCTCATTGGATGAAGTTCCTATGCTTGAGGAAACCTAAGAATCACCCTCAGAAATGTGTGAATGACAGATTATTTGGTCTCACACCAAGGTATTTTAATACAGGAATTCTGGGGTGTCTCATGAATCCCTATGTTTAGAAAGCCTCAAGCTGATTGTGACACTGATTGGAGCATGCCCTGAAGCATAAACCAAGACTGGACACAGAAACATAACCCAGGTACTGTCATCCACCACCTCCCCCTGAACCCCCCTACCCTGGTTGTTGCCACTGCTTCCCTCTGGGCCAACATCTTCCTCTCTTCACTTTCACAATCCCATATGGTTTCTGAGGCATTTCGTCCTTGGAGTTTCTTTCATAGCACCCTAGTCCACAATCTTATTTAGTTTTAAAATGTATTTTTAAAGGAATGTGGCTATTTTATTGCCACCCCAAATTAATTAGCTGTTAAAGAAACAGATAACTTTAAACAGTTTTAGTAGTGCCTAGCTACTTACCAGATCATCTCCCAGACAATTTGCATATACAAATAAAAACCTAGCAGGATAGTCATTGTTATTAGGAATTATTATTTAACAGATAGAATAGAAACAAGCAATAGAGTTAATAGAATCAAGGGATAGAGTCTGGACAGCAGTAAATTTAATCATAAGTTCTTCATAGTCTTCTGTGTTTTCTATTTGTTTTCCTATTCTCATTAATGCCCAGGCTTTTCATATCTTCAGTTACGTGTGACAATTTCATCTACAGAAATGGTCTATTAGAAACATCTATCTTCAAATTATATTGGACTTTTCTTATTGTTCATTTACCTTGGGCCTCGAAGTTTTGTGTCCTGCCAAATTCCCTTCCTGCCTGGCATTCATTCCTGGTTTGTTTTGTTTTTATTTTCCTTTTTCTTTTTTTTTCTGCTTTTCATTTAGGAGATTGTAGGCTCAGAGTTTACTCTCTTCCTCTCTCATTGTCTTTACTAGATATCTTCTCTGCTTCTTTCTTCAAAGATCATGTTATGAATCCATATTCTGTTTCCCTTTAGAGACAAGCACCCAACGTCATCTGTTCATTTTGTACCTCTATGGAGATAAAATTGTTTTATCTTCTAACTCCAGTTTCCACATCAAATTTATCTATGTAAGTATTTTTCATCCATTTGTCTGCTCATCAGGTAGTTCTAGAGTGTTGATCAGATTGAATAAACCCTACTGTATTCTAAAGACATGATCAAGAAAAGAAGTCATTCTGCCTTCATGAAGCTCACAGTCCGGACAGTGGAGGGACATTGTAGATGTGTAAGGACATGAACAAGATAATATTAACTGTCTATACCATACAACTAGTATATGTAAAAAAGGTATAAAATATCGCTTTATAATCACTGACCACGAAAGAACTCTATCAAGATATGTTGTCTGAGCTGGGACTCAACAGCTAATCTGAGGGTAAGGTGCAAGTAGGATTAAGAAGCATCCTAGGCGGTGGGACGAAGGCACAGGGAATACTCTGATGCACAGGCAGCCACGGGTCTGGCTTGAGAGAGTTAAAGCAGAAATGAGCTTGAGATGGTGTTAAAATAG